GCAGTCTTCAGATGAAAATACACTTTTTGAGTATAAAAGGCAGTTTTTAGTTGTGAAATGAAATGTGTGACTCTTAAGAGGCTGATTTTTTTTATCCTCTTGTGCACATTTTTGACTGTGTTAATTTGGAATGTAAGGCACAATAAGAAGAGCCTGGGGGAATCTTGTTTGTCACTTGGTCTTGGACTTGGACTTAAACCATGGTTGACTAGCCCTGTACCATCTCAACTTTGCTGCTGCCTAAGAAAATTCTCTTGGCATCCTAAATTTACAGATTCTAATTCCGTGGATCTGATTCTCAGCTGAAACCTGATAAGGTCTGCTATAGACTATACCCACATCAGCACCAGATGTGCTGAACTGAAAGCAGACACAGGCTAAATGAATTCTAAATGAACTATGTGAGGTTTAAATGAATTCAGACTTGGATTGTTGCAGATTTGGCTCACCCTTCTTATGATCCTAAATTGTAAAACCTCCCCTGATGCTGGCTGGACCATTTGAGTCAGTTGAGTTGCAGATAGCCAAGGGAAAAGTCTTATTTTCTGATGGGACTATCTGAAATTGATCCTCTGATTGGCTCTACATTTCTAATACAAAAGCTGGTTACATTCCTAACGTGATTTCTGTGAAAGCTGCAAATTGGGGGAGGGCACATAATAGGGAATGTGGCATCCTTCACCATTCCTCTCAGATCAAACTCTTGATCCTTCCTGAGCCTGTGTCCTTGCTGTTAATGATCATGTTTGACTTTCTAGATTAGTTACAGCTTAAAATAGACTGTTAGCCTGACTCTACTTCCTTCTCCTTCCCCCTGATACATAAACCTAGATAAGGCAGTATGTTTATTAAATGTAGCTGTCCACATAAAAAGAATGATCTTTTCTAGGCTGCTCACTGGATAAATTGATCAGGGTGAAAGGAATGGGAAGTATGAAAACCCAATTTTAAAACATTTGAAAATTCAGAATTTCATCTTAACCAATTCCTGGACATGATATATCTTTCTGATTAAGTTATTTTAACATGTTTGCCTTTGAAAATGCTTTTAAAATTCTTACATACAAATCTTCTAGACAAAAGGTCTGGATGAGAGGAGAGGATGGTTGTACAACTATAACTGCTAAATGGGACACACAGATTTTGTAACAATGGAGAAAAAAACACCTGAGGAGGCATGAGTGAAGGGTGAGGGCATTAATGATCTTTGATTTTTAGAACTGGAAATTCTGAAATTCCTGGAAGCTTTCCTCTTCTCCTTAATAAAAGCATGTGTTGTCTTCCCTGCTGCTGAGAGTACTTTGAATTCAAATTGACTGCTAATCCCAGAGTCAGATCTGACAGAGCTAACTAATGAGACAGCAGGGGATGGCTCCAGCTCCTCTACCTTCCACTCAGCACCTCCACATATAATCCACACTTGCAAGGCAGATGAACTGGTGCCCTGAAAAAACAAAATTGTTTGGATCCAGGTACCTTCAGAAAACAGTCCCATTGAAACCAAATTCTGAACTGAATTTTTTGGACTGGATTGGAAACACTAAGGCAGGAAGCCTCACAGTAGGAGGTCAGTCACATTAGGGATTCTGTTAACCTAAACTCCCTAATTAATGCATGTCCTGCTTGGGATGCCCTAATGATTATAAACTATTTTTGTCCAATGTGCCCTCTGGCATTGTACTTGTCAGTGAGCCTTGACTATCCCAGCACTGCCTCAGCTCTGAAAGGCATTCAGGTCAGCTTCAGTTTACTGACCAGGCTTGTGTTGTGCCTGGATTGATGCTTCAAGCCAGTTTAAAAAAAAAATTTAATGGAAACTTAAGGATGAAACCATCTGGCTTTTGAAGGTACTTGTTATGGTGATGGATTTGTTTTATCTGTTCAGTATAAGACCCCTAAAGACGTAACTGAGGACAATATGGCAGGTTGGTCTCACTCTGCTGTGTTGAGTCCTTATGAAAAAGACACCTTGGCCAAGAGACCAGAAGGTGGAGTTTGGAGTTTTGGTACATGCTAGGCAGAGGGTGCCTATGCTACCAGCCCCTAATAAAAATAAACACTGGACACTGAGTCTCTAATGAGCTTCCTTAGTAGACATTTCATACATTTTGTCAAAATATGATGCTGGAGAAAATAAACATGTGCTGCGCAACTCCACTAGGAAGAGGACACTTACAAGCTTGTGCCTGGTTTCCTCTGGACTTTGACCATGCACCTTTTTTCTTTGCTGATTTTGCTTTGTATCCCTTTGCTGTAATAAACCTTACCATTAGTATAGATCCATGCTGAGTCCTTTGCCAACAAAAGTCCATCTAGTCAAAGCTATGGTTTTTCCAGTAGTCATGTATGGATGGAAGAGTTGGACTATAAAGAAAGCTGAGTGCCGAAGCATTGGTGGTTTTGAACTGTTGCGTTGGAGAAGCTCTTGAGAGTCCCTTGGACTGCAGGGAAATCAAACCAGTCGATCCTAAAGTAAATCAGTACTGAATATTCATTGGAAGGACTGATGCTGAAGCTGAAACCCCAATACTTTGGCCACCTGATACGAAGAACTGACTCATTGGAAAAAACCCTGATGCTGGGAAAGATTGAAGGCAGGTGGAGAAGGGGACAACAGAGGATGAGATGGTTGGATGGCATCACCAACTCGATGAACATTAGTTTGAGCAAGCTCCGGGAGTTGGTGATGGACAGGGAAGCCTGGTGTGCTGCAGTCCATTGGGTTGCAAAGAGTTGGACACAACTGAGTGAATGAACTGAACTGATGCTGAGTCCTGTGAATCACCAAACCTAGCAGTGATCTTTGGGAATTTCCACACAGCAAGAATGTTCATGGGAATTTTAAATGATATCAAAAAACTGGAGGAAAAATTCAAATGTCTGTCAGCAAGTGAAAGGATAAATAATGATGCATTCATACATTGCATGTATATAGCAATGAAAAAGAATGAACTAATTCTAAGTACAACAATATGAATGAATCTTACAGACACAATGTTGAGTGAAAGAAACCAGATACAAACTAGATAATGTATGATGCTATTAGTATAGAGCTCAAAAATGGACAAATCGTACTTACTTGTATTTGAAGTTTTAATGGTGGTTAACTTTGAGGCCTGTAGGATATTAATACCTAGGAAGGGGCACAAAAGAGGCTAATGCATGGCTAGTAGTGTTCCATACCCTGATTTGGGTTGTGTGTTTCTGTGTAAAAATTCATCAGATTTTATATTCAAGGTTCATGTGTTTAACTTCATGTATATTATACTATAAGCAATTTTGAAAAAAAAGAACCTAGCATCCATTGACGGATGAAAAGATAAACAAAATGTGTTATATGCATACAGTGGAGTATTATTCAGCCTTAAAAAAGGATAAAACTCTGACACTATAAAATGGATGAACCTTCAGACATTATTCTAAGTGGAATAGGCCAGTCACAAAAGGATATTGTATGACTCTACATATATGAGGTATCTAGAGTAAGCAAATTCATTGAGACAGAAAGAATGGTGATTTCCAGGGACTGGGAGGAGGGGAGCCTGGGGAGTTATTGTTTAATGGTTATAGTTTCAGTTTGGGAAAATGAAAAATTTCTAAAGATGGGTGGAAGTGATAGTTGTACAACACTGCAAATGTATTTAATGTCACTGAACAGTTAAAATGGTAAATTTTATGTATATTTTACCATAATACAATAAAAAGAAACAAAATGGAAGGAACAGTAGATAAACCTGCATGTGATATCAATCTCAGGTAAAATGTGTGCTTTATAGAGTAGACCCTGGAATATGGCCAAAAGCATTGATAGCTTTCTGGTTCTGTCCCTAAGAGTGAAGCAACACTAAAAAAGTGGCATATTTGTTAGGTATCATATGTAGGATAAAGAGGAAATGAAAATGAAATCCCTAAGAAAAATGAATTACAGCCCCCACCCCCCAAAAAAGAGGTACTAATTCTGTTAGTACTGATATGAAAGGATATTTAATATATATTCTGGGAAAAAAAGGGTTTGAGAGCAATGTGTATCATGCTGTCCTTTGTTATAAAAGGAAAAAGTGTGTGTGAATAAATGAAATATTTCCTCATTATAAGAGTTATTGATATTATAATTGCCTTTTGAAAGACAAAAAGAAATTCAACTGCATTTAAAATAGACATCAATTATCAGATATATTCTAATTTCAGAATGCTAAACTATTAAAAAAAAACCGACATCTTATACTCAAGGAAATAAGGTGGATGTGTGTGTGAATGTACACAGTGTGTGTACACACATGCATATGTGTATATATACACATACAGGATATAGAGACACACAATGTGTTTATTTATATTTTCATTAAAATTGTGCCTTACTTTTGTAGCTGATAGTTTAAGTCTTCCCCCTTTTTCCAGTTTTCAAAATAGCTTCTCTGCAAAGTAAATTTTACTCTAAGGGTCCACAAAATTTCTTATCAGATATAAGAATATTAAAATATCTTGATTTATTTGGTTAGAATGTGTTGTCCCATTGAATAAAATATGTCAGTATTGAAGGAGATCAAGATGCACTCTTATTTCACTTTTTCCAGTTTAGTTTGCCATCTTTAAACTGATGAGATTTTTGTTCAGCTTTCTTGAAGCATAGTTTATACTGTTAAGTCTGATAATCAGAATAGCTTTTGTACTTTTCATGAGCTTTAAGGAAATTCAATGTATGAATATTGGTAATAGCATTCTATCATTCATAGAACTATTAATTTTTATATGCATTCTTATGTAGATGATTTGACTTTTTTTTATAAGAGCATAATTTGTCTTAAGAACACAGATAACTGCCTATTCTTTCTCTTGGAAAACCCATGGTGCTTATTATGGCCCTGTACATGACATGGACATTAACTTTGAGACACAGAACTTATTTTGTTCAATAAGGAAGCATAAACTAATGCAAAAAATGTTTGCTGGTAGGATTTGTGCACTGAAAATATCTTGACCATTTCTCAATTCTGTATCAGGATGCAACAGTAGAATGAAACTCAGTGGAAGACCCTACAGACACATGGGTGTCCTTGGAACTTCAAAACTCTATGACATTCGGAAAACTATCTTTACCTTCACTCCACAGGTGGGTGGAATAAGCTTTGGTGTACATTGAGATGAATGAAAATAAAAGAGAAACACTATAGAAATAAAGCATTTACTGGAGTTGGGAGAAGTGTCAGAGTTCCATGGGACCTTGTACATATTAAGCTTAGTAAATATTTGTTGAGTTGGACTGAACTGATGTTGCAGCAAAGAGCTATGCCAAGTGACTGTGGCTACCGAGAGTAGACCTTGGTATTGCAGAAGCAGTGAGTGCTCTTTATTAAAGATTAAATATAATACTGTATCCTTTATAAACAAAATATAGTCTTTTTTGTTAATATTCAGCTACCAAATTAGATCTTCTATTTCTTTTTGAGATGGGCCCTTTTTACATGCTTAGAAATTTTTCATATCCTCTTCTAAACAAAAATGTTAGTACTATTTTAGCCATGAGATACATTATTTATTAGCATGATGTTTATTACCCATATTACAGTAGCAAGCCTTATTATGTATGTGTATAGGAGTAGAAACTATTTTCTGGAAAGAAGGATTAAGTTCCCCATTTGTTATCTTACATCTGAAATAGTGCACTGAAGTACAGATGAAAGAATAATGGACCAGAGATTCTATCTCTGATTTTGCCGTTTGCTAGTCATATAACTTTGCTAATCTACTCAGTGTCTCCTGGCCTTACTTTTTGTCTATTAAAAAGGAGAAAAGCCCTCACTGGGTTGTTAGAATTAAATAAAATCATGTACTTGAAAACACTTTGTTAACTATAGCACACTAAAAATGTCCAAGACAACTATATGTACTAATAGGACACCAGATACTTTGGAAAGAATTAGGCATTAAATTTGGAGGTATTGTTGCCTCTGTGATATCTTATACACCTTTATGAATATATGAGTATTTTAAAATATTATTTGATAGTTATGAGATTAATTATTCTAAACTATTATTTTTCTTTTTCTTAGTTTATAGACCAGCAACAATTCTACCTGGCTCTAGACAACAAGATGATAGTGGAAATGCTTAGAACAGACCTCTCCTATCTCTGTAGCCGCTGGAGAATGACAGGCCAGCCCACCATCACCTTCCCCATCTCACACAGCATGCTTGGTAAGGTTGTATGAGGCAAGGAATGAGTGTATTTTTGGAATAAGTTGTGTGATTAGCCCTTCAAAATCATAGTCACTGGAAAGCTGCTTTTTGTCATTTATTCTTTCAGCAGTTTATTAAGCTTCTGTTTTGTACCAGGCACTTTTCAAAGCACTAGACATACATGGGGTGAATAAGGTAGATGAGGTTTCCACTCTTATGGAGTTTATGATTTTGAATAAATATGTAACAAAAAACCAATTCACAAGAATATTTCAGGTTGTTTGAGAGCTATAATTCAAGATATGTAATAAAAGAATTTGTTTGGGGCTACTTTAGATAATTGGTTTCTAGGCCAGTTTACAGAAACTTTATTAATAAAACTCATTTTAAAGACAATCTCACTCTAGTGGAGCATCAAGACTTTATAAATTCCCAGACTTCTCTTTCCAAGGCTTGTCTAACTGAAGAAATAAATCTAGCAGAGAAAAGTAAAAAGGCTTTCAGTTTATCTTTTCTTTATTAGCTGGGCTTCCTGACATTGCTTACTTGAAACTAAGTGAGAGGTTTATTGTTCTCTCAGTTCCTGAAAGACTAGAGCCAATAATGAAGCACTGTTTCCTTTCTGTATCCCTTCTATTGCTTCCAAAAGCCTGTTTGTACTGCCAAAGTACATAGGATTTCTTTCCATTAGAGAAGAATCCTTTGTCATAAATCATTCAAAGTCCAGGCAGACTTAAGGATTTTGATCACATCTCTAAAGTGCTTCAAAAGCACTAGAGGTGAGGAAGTAGGGTAGTCTTTCTTCTTTATATAAGACAATTATCAAATACCCATTTAATAACTACTGTGTTTGCAGAACTGTCTTCAGAAAGTATAAAGTCTAATTGGATAGGCAAAGCTAATTCACAAAAATAATAGAAAACAATTCAAGACAGTATATAAAGAATTACAAAACCATTAGATTAGTATTTTATAGTGACAGTGATCACATTGTTAATGAAATTTATTTACTAGGTGGGACTTATTCAGGCTTTTTGGGATGCATGGTATTCATATGGAAGGAGAAAAGAAGGAAAGGCACTTCAGGTGAGGGGAAAAAAAATACCATGGGTGAAGCTGAGAGGCAGGGATGTACTTGACTTGTGAGTGGACAGTGAAGAAGCCAAGATGAATAGAGAGGACCTTGCATGTTAGAGTATGTGAAGTGAAAGTCATTCAGTTGTGTCCGACTCTTTACAACCCCATGGACTATACAGTCCATGGAATTCTCCAGGCCAGAATATTAGAGTGGGTAGCCTTTCCCTTCTCCACGGGATCTTTCCAACCCAGTGATTGAGCCCAGGTATCCTGCATTGCAGATGGATTATTTACCAGCTGAACCACAAGGGAAGCCCATGTTGGAATATAAGTATCAACAAAATTGGGCAAGTAAGGTAGGGTCAGATTATGAAGACCTTAAAGAGATGGGAATACCAGACCACCTGACCTGCCTCCTGAGAAATCTGTATGCAGGTCAAGAAGCAACAGTTAGAACCGGACATGGAACTGGTCTGGTTCCATGGACATGGACATGGACTGGTTCCAAATTGGGAAAGGCAAGGCTGTACATTGTCATGCTGCTTATTTAACTTATATGCAGAGTACATCATGTGAAATGCCTGCCTGGACGAAGCACCAGCTGGAATCAAGATTGCAGGGAAAAATATCAATAACCTCAGATATGCAGATACACTACCCTTATGGAAGAAAGTGAAGAGGAATTAAAGAGACTCTTAATGAAAGTGAAGGAGGAGAGTGAAAAAGCCAGCTTAAAACTCAACATTCTATGGAAAACAGTGTGGAGATTTCTTAAAAAGCTGGAAATAGAACTGCCATATGACCCAGCAATCCCACTTCTGGGCATACACACCGAGGAAACCAGATCTGAAAGAGACACGTGCACCCCAATGTTCATCGCAGCACTGTTTATAATAGCCAGGACATGGAAGCAACCTAGATGCCCATCAGCAGACGAATGGATGAGGAAGCTGTGGTACATATACACCATGGAATATTACTCAGCCATTAAAAAGAATTCATTTGAATCAGTTCTAATGAGATGGATGAAACTGGAGCCCATTATACAGAGTGAAGTAAGCCAGAAAGATAAAGACCATTACAGTATACTAATACATATATATGGAATTTAGAAAGATGGTAACGATAACCCTATATGCAAAACAGAAAAAGAGACTCAGATGTATAGAACAGACTTGTGGACTCTGGGAGAAGGCGAGGGTGGGATGTTTCAAGAGAACAGCATCGAAACATGTATATTATCTAGGGTGAAACAGATCACCAGCCCAGGTTGGGTGCATGAGACAAGTGCTCGGGCCTGGTGCACTGGGAAGACCCAGAGGGATCGGGTGGAGAGGGAGGTGGGAGGGGGGACTGGGATGGGGAATACATGTAAATCCATGGCTAATTCATTTCAATGTATGACAAAAACTACTGCAATGATGTAAAGTAATTAGCCTCCAACTAATAAAAATAAATGGAAAAAAAAATAAATAAAACAAAACCCTGAATTCTGAAAAAAAAAAAAAAACTCAACATTCAAAAAGCTAAGATCATGGCATCAGGTCCCATCATTTCATGGCAAATAGATGGGGAAACAATGGAAACAGTGACAGACTTTATTTTCTTGGGCTCCAAAATCACTGCAGATGGTGGCTGCAGCCATGAAATTAAAAGATGTTTGCTCCTTGGAAGAAGAGCTATGACAAACCTAGACAACATATTAAAAAGCAGAGACATTTCTTTACCGATAAAGGTCTGTATAGTCAAGCCCTTGGTTTTTCCAGTAGTCATGTATGGATGTGAGAATTGGATCATAAAGAAAGCCAAGCACTGAAGAATTGATGCTTTTGAACTGTGCTGTTGGAGAAGACTCCTGAGAGTCCCTTAGACAGCAAGGAGATCCAACCAGTCCATCCTAAAGGAAATCAGTCCTGAATATTAATTGGAAGGACTGATGTTGAAGATGAACTCCAACACTTTGGCCACCTGATGTGAAGAACTGACTCATTGGAAAAGACCCTGAGGCTGGGAAAGATTGAAGACAGGAGAAGGGGACAACAGAGGATGAGATGGTTGGATGGCATCACCAACTCACTGGACATGAGTTTGATTAAGCTCTGGAAGTTGGTGATAGACAGGGAAGCCTGGTGTGCTGCAGTCCATGGGGTCGCAAAGAGTCGGACATGACTAAGTGACTGAACTGACCAAAAATAAGCAGGTAAATTTAAAATAAATTGTCTCAGAAGTCTGTAGCTATTTAAAATTTTTGAGCAAGGAGCAATATGATGAAAGTGATGTTTAAGGAATATTTATTTAGTGACAATTTTTATTGTTGTTAGGAGAATCTGATATCAAGGAAACTAATCCAGGTATGAGGTGATGAGAAGATACACTGGGCTGATGATAATAAAAATTGAATGGGAAAGGTGGAGATGAATCATTTTATTTTTTATAATGCTATTTATTTATGGCTGTGTTGGGTCTTTGTTGCTGTGTGGGCTTTTCTCTAGTTGCAGTGAGCAAGGGCTACTCTCTAGTTGAGGTGGGTGGGTTTCTCATTGTGGTGGCTTCTCTTGTTGCAAAGCATGGGCTCTAAGGCACATGGGCTTCAGTAGCTGCAACACATAGGCTCAATACTTGAGATTTCTGGGCTTTAGAGCACAGGTTTAATAGTTGTGGCACACGGGCTTAGTTGCTCTATGGCATGTGGGAGATTCCCAGAGCAGGGATTGAACCTGTGTCTTCTGCATTGGCAGGGAGATTCTTTACCACTGAGCCACCAGGGAAACCCACAAGAGTCATTTTAATCAACACCTTACAAGTCAGGTGTTGACTGACTAGATACGAAAGTCAGGTGTTGACTAACTAGATGTGAGATATGAATAAAGATAATGCCAACATTTAGAACTAGCTAAATAATGCTGCATCGATAAAAGCAGAGAACTTCTGAAGAAAGATGCCAGTTGTGAAGGGACATGTTGAATTTGTAGTGACAAAGAGATTTCAAAATTGAAATGCCAATAGTTGTGGATGACATAAACAGCCATAGTTTGGGAAGAAGAATATAACTAAAATCTAAATTTAAATCACAGTTTTGACATTTGGTATGTGGTCACACAACAAAAACAGAATTATCAATAGCAATAATAACTGCAATGTTTATTTAGCACTCTCTCTGTATCAGGCACTGATCTAAGTGCTTTCAATGCATCATTTTGAAATCTCTACAACAACCCTATTCAGGTAGGTACTGTTAATAGCCTCCATTTTATAGATGAAGAAGGTGACTCTTTGTATACTCATGAAGCTAGTAAGCAACAGAGTCAGGCCTCAAACCAGGTCTGTCTGTCTTCAAAATATACATTACTAATACAGTAGCTATGTATTTTTATTAGGGAAAATTTTGTGCTGATGAAATGGGAATGAACATATTTAGTGATCACATTAAAATGTGAATTAAATCCTCATATTAAAGACAAAAATTCCTAGGATAGGTAAAAGCAAAATCTAGCTAGATGCTACTTAAGAAACCTTACAAAAGCTATCTCTAAAATAAAACTTTATGGAAAAACAGAAAAAAAAGAAGGCAAAAATATATCATGTAAATGCTAACAAAAAAAAGCAATGATGGCAATATTAATATAAAAAATAGCAAATAGAATTCAAGGTGCAAATCAGGAAATGGGATAGGAAGGATATTTTATATTGATAAGAGTTATAGCACATGAAGACAGTAGAACATTTATAAATTTTTATCTACTGAGGAATATCAGTGAAATATATAAAGCAGATATTTAGGAAAACTTAATGACAATATGATAAGTCCATTTTACAGTCATAGTGGGAAACTATAACATATCTCTATCATAATGTCCACTAGACCATTCAGGTATGACCTAAATCAAATCTCTTATGATTATACAGTGGAAGTGAGAAATAGGTTTAAGGGATAAGACCTG